TGTAACAACTAGTGACTTTAAAATGAACGATGGGAGTGATATTCATTACCGCCATCCCATAGAAACCCTACCCCTTTCAATCTCACATGTCATCTCATTAGGTTTTGTGAGTAAGGATATATTTTAGGATTATTCGATCGATTATAGGTTTAGGTTTTGGATTTAATGTTGAATCGAGACAAGGGTTACGAAGATCAAGATTAAGTAGAAGTAAGAAATAGATCTATGTTTAGGATCTACAAGACAAAAAGGAAAATTAATTGAGACTTTAGGCTATCTAGGGGGAAGATCTCGGAGATAAGATAGATTAGGGATTCAATATTTATAGGAGATCAAGAAAATAAGTTGAGTTATTTTCTTTAGGAGATGGGGTTTAAAATGATGAGATCGTTATATCTTAGTGAGAATTAGAGAAACTTAGACAAGATAGAGGTAGAGAAGAAAAACCAACCGAGTTAGGGATTCAATTTTAACAAAAAGTTAGGGGGTAAGTTTTTAGGTTTGAAAGAGAAAAAAGGAGATTGAGCGATCCGGTTGAGGGGAAGCTTAGGGAGAAAGATAGAGGGAGCCAAAAAATTAAAGTGGCAAGCGAAGAAAGACATAAAAAAAGAAGAAGAGAAAGACAAAGGAAAAAGGAGACGAGGGAGATGAATAATTTGAGGTTTCGACTTTACTTTGGGAATGATTTGGAAAGCTATTAGAAAGAAATGGTTTGGATCGAGTTTACCTGGAATAGAGGAGATGGTCGGGCTTAGAGATTTAAATGGGCTCAATGTCGACTCGACCTATATGACTAAGGCTCGGGTTAATTTCAACCTAGCCTAGGCAAAAAAAAAAAAAAAAAGAGACAATCTGGCCTAGTGGGCCCCGCCTAATGGGTTAGAGGCCCATCGGATCCAACGACCTTTTTTTTTCTTTTCTTACTTTTAGCCATTTTCTAGAAAAATCAGCCTTGAATTTTTTAATGCTTGTCTTTTATTTCATGCTTGGTTTAGATTTAATTTATTTAATAAACATTTAATTTTAGGTTTTATTTCAATAACTAGATTGGATAATTAATAGATGAATGAATCGTCGAGTCTCTTAATTTTTTGAGACCGGTGACGATTCCCTACCAATAACAAAAAAATATATCAAAAAATTAAAAAAATAAAAAATGAAAAATTATTAGATACAATAATAAAGAGAAAAAAGTAAAAAAAATGATAAAAAAAAGAGGGAGAAAGGAGAAGAAGGGAAAAAGAGGAAAGAAAGAAAGAAAGAAAGAGAGAGAAAATGCTAGGTAAAAGATTAAAAAAAAGAAGAAGCAAAAACATAGAACATATTAGGAAAAAAATTAACAATGTCTCATATCTAATAAGGATCGATATTAACTAAAATCAATCACATCTTAATAATTAAATCGTTCTCCGACATACCGATTATGTCAAGATTTAAACCGAATCCAAGTAGTGAATTGATAAAATTCTTGTTGGAGGGATCCGACAGTTAATTCAATATGATGTAACAAATAAAAATAAAACTATTAATTTGGCTTAGAAAGTAAAACTTGAAATTTTTACTCGAGATAAATTTTGATAAAAACATAAATTTTTAAGAGATAAATTTTAAAACTAAGCTAAAGATTGTACCATTTTTAGAAAAGAATGCTTTTAAGTAATTGATATCTAGTGTTTATTTTAGGTTTTTAGTTTCTTTTAATACTAAATGACGATTCTAAAATTAATAAAAATATCATATTCTCAAATAAACAAAATTTTCAATAAAACAAATAAATTATAAAAATTTCGAAAGTTGTAGGACCATCATATAGCAACAAAAGACATGGTGGGGGTGGTGGGATGCTGAAGGCAAGACAGTAGGGATGACGGTAGTCATTTAAGTAGTTGAATAATAATACAAGTGAAAAATTATAATTTGATTATTTTTGTAAAATAGTTTTCAGAATTTCAAGAGCCGAAATATTTTCATATGAAAAATAAAATTTCTTGACAATCGAAAATCAAGTGTAAACATTTTACGCAAACAAATGTTCCCAAAGTGACGAAAATATCCGAGTAGGACATTTCAATCATATAGTTTCTTTTGTGCAATTCCTTGATCTAATCGAGTCAACATTATAGCAAATGATCTTTTGCCATATGGAAACTGAAGGCAAATGCCAAATGGCCTAGCATAGGCCTCATATTGAGAAGTTGAGAAATGCACGAGATGAGTTTTCACATAAAAATCGAGGACAGCTGTATGAGAACAACATAGCCATATGAATTTTGCTACTTGATGTTAGGTTAGCGATTAGCCATAAAACGTTCCTTTTTTATAAAAGGTTAGCATTAGGGGGCTACTTACTAGCTGTGGATCTCTCGTGAGCCATAATGATGGGTGCTTCTAGCTGCACTCTTAAATGTAAAACAAAACTGCCTCGACTCTTTATGGTCAACTGGCGGTGCACCGTTGACCCAACCGTGTAGTGTGTCAACTTCCACAGCCAAGACATGAACTAAATGTCAAATCAAGTTTAGGTCCTGCCAGACCAAACTATATTTGAACCTAGAACAGAGCTAGATATTCACTACGTTTTAATGGTTGCAATTGTGGTGCTTAATTATCCATGCACTATTAATTAGTTGGGTCTACCTTTCATGCTCTGTATTTTATGTGATCCAATCTGATTTAAAGAAGAGGTGAAGAGTCCGTCTTTTTCCTTCCTCTCCCAGGAACTTGAGATGAAAGGTATTTCATTAGGCACCAAAATTGGTTGGGTGCACTCAATCTAATCTTAGGATAAGAAATTAAGAAGCATTTGCTCACACGTGTGTTACTTCACACATGGGTGATCGGTGATGCACTGATGCAGGGCGCAAGAATTGTAGGCACAACGTTAGGGACTCGTTAATTTCCAATCTTCCAAGAGACCGAAAAATATTGTGTCAATCAAATTAGTTCAGCAAGCCACTCTAACATTATCATTTTCCTTAAATTCAGAAAACTATCACAATCTGCATGTCTTCTGCAATTTCTCCAACCTTTTTTTTAACCATGTCATTAATGTATGAGTATTTAAAAGATCCGTTACCACTGGACTCCTGGCGCAAATATATTCAATGATTCAATAATGTAGATTTGTCCATACACTTACAGGATCATATCAAGCCTGAATCTATGTTAATCTCTGTCAAATAACTCTAATCATTAGTTATACATGTTGTTGTAATTAACTTAATTTAGCTACTACCTAAATATTATTTTATTGCATGACTAAAAACTTTTATTTATTTATTTATTTTTGATGCAATAAGAGATTTAATGATATTTGTGCCATAACTAAGGGTGAACACTAGTTGGTTAAAACTGAAAAATCGAAGCAAATTAGTAATTTTGGTTGGGTTTTGTACCAAAAATTTGAAAAAAAAAAAAAACCGAATATCAAAATTATTTCGCCTCGGTTTTTTTTTTTTTTTTTTGTAAAAAAAATCGATTTCTATCGAAAATCAAATTAATTTTTTTTTTTTAACACACATGACATACCCAAAGCCCATAACAAAATTAGTCTATTAAGATTTGAACTTGTAACCTCTTGTAAGATACTATTATCATCTGGGTTACAAGCTATTTGATACCAAATTAGTTAGAAAGGAGCACTATTTAAGCGGTTATATCTGAATTTTTTTATGAATAAGAGACCACCCGGACTCGGTCGTAGCATTTTTTTATGTTTTTTTTTTTTTTGCTAAAACTTCAATTTAAGCTATTAGCATTTTTTGAAAATTGAAAAAAAATTATAAAAAAAAGGCCTTTCATTCTCATCCAAGAGAAAATTCAAAATTCAAAAGAAAAGATGTAAAAAAAAAAAAAACTTTTTAATCAAAAACCGAAAAACCAAATTAGAAAATTTGATTTTTTAATTGAAAAACCAAACTCCAGTTCATTTTAATTTCGATTTTTATTTGAGTCAATTCGATTAATTAAAAAAAATCAAAACCGAATCAAAAAATTAAACGATGAACCCTAGCCGCAACATTTCCTCGATTATAAATTACCACTCCATCTCTCTCATATGCGGAAATCTGAGACTTGAACTGTTCAATTAATGACACCACTAAAGCATTGAAACTCTCTTCTGGTTATTAACGACGACATTCATGCCTTGGCAAAGAGGAAAAGCACTTCGATTTTTGTTGAACCATAATAGCACCTAACACATGATTCCTCTTGAAGGGGGCCCTCATAAGGTAGATTAATATATGACCTTCAATAGAGTTCATCGATAAAACAAAAAATATAGGAGTATTTGTTTTTGTAAAAAAAAAAATCTCAAAAAGAACATCTTAACCTCTTATATTAGGATTCACAAAATGATTTTATATGATTTTTTTAACATATTTTTTAAAACAAAATTTTTTTGAGATGAGATTTGAATTCGTACCTACTTAATCAATATAAAAAAATCTTAATCCAACCATTTAAATTGTTAAGAGAAACCCTTAAATGATTTTATATAATTGGCTAACAGTTTTAATATAAAAGGAAAAATCATACGTCCGAAGCTGATTCAGGTTTTCTTCTTTTGGTTGACAATATACCCCCTTGTGAAAGCAACCCAAGTTGAATATCTATGGACTTTTTAACGCAAGGCATGGGAATCCTGGAAAGAGCCTTGCCACTCACACACACACATCTATATATAAAAGGTTAACAAAGGCCTCCCAGAGAAAACTGGAGTTCTGATATTACATCAAAACTCCCCACTAGCATTCCAAGTAATATCATATTTCTTTAATACTCTCCCTATCATTGATGTATGTATCATTTGTTTAACTCAATAACACACAACCCCCCAAGATTAATCCTCTTACCTGTTTCCAATTATATACATTAATCTAACCTTTTTCCTCCTTACATCAATTGTCTATATATAAAGTGTTAAGAGCGTCTTCAGAGTGCATGTGATCATGGAGCTGGTCATGGCTAGATTAGCTAAGGAGAATTGGAAGAAAAACATGAGCGATTTTTCTGAGAAACTGAAAAAGTTTCCTGGTTTGTTGTGGCATACAATTTGGAGAGTTGGTCGGGATGATCCTAGAAGAGTTGTCCATGCTTTGAAAGTTGGCTTTTCTTTGACATTGGTTTCCTTGTTGTATCTACTGGAGCCATTGTTCCTAGGGATAGGCCAGAATGCTATTTGGGCTGTCATGACTGTTGTAGTTGTGCTTGAGTTCACAGCAGGTCAGTTGATTTATGTATCCGATCGCATAATAGCATGCGTTATATTAATTGCTGGGTTAAGCTTTTATATATATATATATATATATATATCATAATAAAAATCCACTTGTTTGATTCATTTTTCCTTTTGATGATAGGAGCAACATTGTGCAAAGGACTTAATAGAGGATTAGGGACCCTCTTAGCAGGATCATTGGCATTTCTCATTGAGTACATTGCAGAAAAAACTGGGCACGTCTTTCGAGCTGTTTTCATTGGTACTGCAGTTTTTGTGATAGGTAATTATTAGTATTAAGTTAATTTTCTGATGAAAGTTCTTTATTTGAAAATTCCTCTCGCTTATAAAAACAAAGTGATAATCTAATAGCATTTTCTCAAAACAATGGCTTCTGCCTTCTAGGATGTTTGATGGAAATAGTTTAAAGCTCATTCCGTGTCACAAAAAGATGAAAATTAACCTATTGTCCTATTGATAATCTTAAGATGTACATAAAAGGCATCTCATGATTTCAATATATGACCGCTAATCCCTATTTTATTGTGTGATTATATATGTTGTTTTTCAGTACAACACAGCACACTAAATCGTGATTTCCTGTCCTCAGATTCCCTTTTAAGGAGAACATCCAAATACCAAGTAATTATAGCTTCCACTTCGGGAACAGTTTCTTATTGAGCATCTAAAAAATTTCTAATAAACTATAATGTTTGTTATGTTATGTTCAGAGATTCAATTAATCTAACCCCTAGTACTGATTTGATCCTATCTTGCTAAATTTCAAAGGAAAATATAAAAAAAATAAAAAATAAAGAGCTTGTATATAAATTTGTATCTTTTATATCTTTTTCAAGTTAGGTTTTTTTCCCCCTATTATTCAAGAGCTGTGAAACATGGATTAATATGTGTGTTAATAGCTCACTGTTTTTACATTTTTAATTAAGTCTATTTTTTTTTAAACATTAGTTGAAGTTTTCAATTAATATATCATTTTGGTAAGTTTTTGAAACTACACCACTCAAATTAATCACTTGATTTATATATTATTATTTTGTATTTTCAAAATATTTTTATAAACTAGCGAGATAAATGGAAAGTTTTTATGTAATTAATTCCTTAGGTCATGATTTGGGGTAAGTAATTAATTATATAAAAATTATATGTTTCGTGTTTAATTTGACAGGAGCTACAGCTACATACATGAGGTTCTTTCCCAATGTAAAGAGGAACTATGACTACGGTGTCCTCATATTCCTCCTGACCTTTAATCTGATAACCGTGTCAAGCTATCGCGTGAGCAATGTATTGAAGATTGCACATGAGCGCTTCTACACCATTGCCATTGGTTGTGGTATTTGCCTAGTAATGACCCTTTTCATATTCCCAATTTGGTCCGGAGAAGATCTCCATAATTCCACGGTGGCCAAGCTTGAAGGGCTAGCTAAATCTATACAAGGTATACATGCAACATCAAAACCATGAATTCCAGTTGCAGTTATATATACATATATATAAACAGCAATCCGTGGTTTTGCTTTTCTCAATGGTCAATAGTAAAAATTTGATGTCAATATAATCCTGCAGCTTTTGTCATTGAATATTTATATGTTACTAGTAAAAAATTTATGTCAATTTCAATCTTGCAGCTTGTGTTGATGAATATTTTAGTGATGTTGAGAAAGAAAAGACCCAAGATAAGTCATCCGAGGATCCGATCTACAAAGGATACAAGGCAGTATTAGACTCAAAATCTCAAGATGAAACTTTAGTAAGTTCTTTACTACCTTATGTTTATGTCACCTTGACTAAGTAGTTTAGCTTGTTATCGAACGTGTTATAGTTACCATGAATTTGTGCAGGCATTACATGCAAGTTGGGAGCCAAGACATTCATGGCATTGCAGATATCCTTGGCAGCAGTATGTGAAACTAGGAGCTGTTCTGCGTCATTTCGGTTACACTGTTGTAGCTTTACATGGATGTTTGCAAACTGAAATTCAGGTATCAACGTTCTTCCAAATTCAACGTCTAATACTATGTTTTCCTAGCTAATCAATATACCTTGAAAATTTTATAACAAAAATGACATGATCATGCATCTTGTACGAGTGTATGGAGTATGGACTAACATATCAATATGTTACGCAGCAGATTTGATGCTTCTTTCTCTGCAGCGGATAAAATTTATTATTGAATTATATATTCATTTGAATTCTTTTATTTTGCTAGACACCTGGTTATTGCCGAGCACTCTTCAAAGATCCATGCATTCGCGTTGCAAGTGAAGTATCAAAAGCATTAATGGAACTTGCCAATAGTATAAAGAATCGACGTCATTGTTCTCCTGAGATACTCTCCGACCATCTCCACGAAGCCTTGCAAGACCTCAACAATGCCCTAAAATCTCAACCAAGACTTTTTCTAGGCTCCAACAATAACCAAGCCACCAACATGCTAGCCCTAGCAGCCGCGCATGCTAACACTAGCCAAAAGCATGAAAAAAACAATGGAGTGTCGTTATCAAGTTTTAAGACCGACACTTCTGCATTGCTCGAATGGAAATCCAAAAGGATGAATAATGAACTGTCAAAATCAGAAGCAGCAGAAAGGAAGGCGTTGAGGCCACAATTGAGTAAAATAGCTATCACAAGCCTCGAGTTCTCAGAAGCACTCCCATTCGCGGCATTTGCTTCTTTGCTAGTAGAGACAGTGGCAAGGTTAGATAATGTTATTGAGGAAGTTCAGGAATTGGGAAGGATAGCATGCTTTAAAGAGTTTAAACCCGGTGACGAGGTTATCGTAAATTGCGATACCCCAAAGGTTAATATTACTATAAATCATTTGTCTTCTCAGGGAGTAGAATGATATATGGAGACATGAGGATATTGGACTATACTTTTTTCAAGTGGACTCTTTTTATTGCTATTGTTACTTAGCTAGTTTGATGCTGTCATTCTTATGAAAAATGACTGTTATTTTAGGCATTCTTTTGGAAACGAATGAGCTTATATTCCTGTTCACGCATAATGCCCGCAACATTTAACTATTGATTCTTTTGTCCTTTTAATTCATGAATTTGTGTTCAAACCATGTTACTTCCAATAAATAAACGAGTGTGATATCTTTAGCTCTCCCTGTTGATGCTTCGGGTATTATTCTTCTCGAGAGAGCTTCAAATTTTTTTGGGTTTTTTTTATTTTTCTTTTGTCCTTTCTAAAAAAAAAAAAAACCGACATAATTCCACCAATATGACAAGTGATAACATTTATTTGGCTATGTGACTGGTTTGATAACACTATTCTTTTCTGGTGATAATTCCACCAGTATTTTCTTGAATAAATTATTGATAACCGAAATATATTTCTAATCACGTGATAAAATGTTGAGCCATTAATTTTCGTTTTCATTTTCTGGTGTGTTTAAATCGAGCTACTGCGAAAACTAATTAATTTCTCTACAATAAACTAGTTTGTTTAAAAAGATATGAGAAATTGTGGAAAACTAGGAGCTATTCAGAAAATGCTAACGCAACAGTTGAATAAAATTATTGTCACAAGCATTGTGGCATATTCGGATAAAATACAATCAACACGTGCTTCTGATCATCGGCTAAAAAAATCAAAAAACTAAACCAAGATATTAGTTTATTATTTATTGACATTATTCCAAATTCTATTAATCCAAAATCATATGCATCGTTCATTTCACTATATAATGATTTTTTTAATAGTTTTCAAACTTCTTAAAAGTATTTATCATGAAAGTTTTCATATTATTACACTTTAATTTTTCTTTTTTAAATATTATTTTTCAGTTCATAAATTTTTTATTTTGTTTTGGTCCCTCTTTTTTATTTTATTTTAATCACTTTGGTCCTTTTTTATTTAATTTTTTAATTAATAATGCCCTATTATAAACAAATACTACTAAAAGAACGTTACAATTTCTATTAAAATAAAAAAGAAACATAAATGAATGTTACTATTACTAAAAAAGGTTACTCGCGTTTGAATGAGAAGGAAGAGATAAAATAGAGAAGGTAATTGAAGCATCATCGATAGTGTCATGAACGATATTTTCAAAACAAATTAATTATTTTGAAACATTAAAATAGGTAATTTTTTTTTTAATTAAAGAAAGATCCCTATATATATATATGAGGCCAAGACCCTAAAGAAATAAATTATATCATCTAGAGTAAGAAATCCCATAAATATCATATAAAACAAGTTTTAAGCGACCTATAAGAGCTTTTATAAAATGATGGATTCGACATCTAGAGAGTGAGCATAATTAGCTAACTAATATGCACATCTATTTTCCTCACAATAGATATGACGAAGTTGAATTCTACAAGAACACCGCAATAGTCAAAGGATGTAGAGAGTTAAGCGGCTTTAAGGTGAAATTGAATGATCTTTATTAATTAAAAGATCAATAGATAATTTAGAATCAATCTCTAATTCGACCTTTCGAACCCATTATTCCGAGCCGACTCTAGACTAATCAAGATCCCCTACACTTCATTTTCCACACATAACATATGCCGGTGTTACATGCAAAGCCATTTAGCCAATTTCCTAAAAAGTTCCTAAACAATCCCTAAGCTAAAGCCAAACCACTAGTACCAACAATCGATTCATCCGTGTTAAGTTTTACAAATCCTAGAATTGGAAACTTCCACCAAATAAGTTGTTCTTTCTTTTTACCATAATAGAATTGAATGAAGTTAAGGTCGAGTTGTAAGATATTATTTATGTTAACTATGAACGCAAGCAATAAAGTGAATTATTCATAAAAGAAGCTTTTAGATTAAAAGTAGCATTATTTCACCATAGACAAAGCCTCTAACATACCATCCCAAACTAAATATTCTATAGAATTCTTCCTGCCATCGTTCTAGTATAAAATAGTTTCGAATCAACCAATCATTAAGATTAGCTACAAAAAATAAATAGAAATAAGTTCACTTGCATTGCTACCCAACCATATCGGTTTTACCTACGGACAACCTCTCAACACATATAAGATTGATTCATTTGCATTAGCATAAATAGTGTAATTATCATCATCAATTAGACATCGAATCGCTCTTTGTTTGTTAAAAAGTAGTCTATTATGTCCAACCAACTAAAGAAATGTCTAAATGCATCGAGGTCCACCATAATGCCAAATAACCTACCATAAAGAAATAGCGAGGATTCGAACGATCTATACTAAGCATTTCATATGTTGAACTAATAAAAAAATTTGTCAATGCTAGTTGCATTCTAAGATACACAATCATCACCTAAGTATATATTAGGAGGTTAAACACTAGCAATCCTTAGGCGGATAGTTTGAGGTAAGAAGAAAAAGAATTTTTCTCACTATCATTGGTAAGATGTTGTCACATGATCCTTGATTTTTGTATTACGGTAACTAAAGGAAAGATCATCGAAATAAGATGGATAAGCATACCTATAACCTAAATATCCGGATAGAATTGGATTCTGCTTCCATCTTAAATAGACCACCCCATCCCTTTAATCAAAGAAAGCTAAACTATAACTATCCTTTTTTAAATCATAAACATGTTTTAGGAGTTTAGGGAGTTTAGTAAATAACTAAAATCTTAGTGATATCTACTACGAAGCATTTGAACCCAAAGAGAATTAATGTTTGTTTGGAGATTCCAACCCAATTTAACTAGAAAAACCTCATTAGTGATTCCAAGATTCTGAAAACCAAAGCCACCTCTAATCTTGGGTGACAAACTAATTTCCAATCCACTAGAAGAGTCTTTTTTTTTTTATTTCTCCATTAAACCCCATAAGAAATTCTTGCATTGCTTATCTAGAGAATCACAAATAACTATATGGAAGCGAATGGATTGCATAGCATAAGTAGGAATTATTGTCAATATTGATTTAGTAAGAGGGATTCTCCTTGTAGAGATAGATAATGCCTTCCTAAAAGTTTTTTTAGGATTTTATCAATAATATATCTATATGTTTTATTTTTTTTTTTGTAATCCTGTTGTGTATCACTAAATATTTACCAAAATTATTATTAGGGGGATTTTTGATATTAAGGTGATATTTTTAGCTAACAGACTTAGAAATATTAGAAAAGTAAAAGATACTAGACTTTGCCACACTAACTTTAATGCTTAAGGTCGAATAAATATTATCAAGAACTTGCTCAATGATTCTGATTTGAAAAGTGTTGGCTTTAGCAAGAAGTATAAGGTCATCAACAAAGAAAAGATGAGAGATAGTAGGACCAACTAAGTTGAGAGCAATCGACTTCCAATCTCTAAGCAAAACAAATTGATTAATTATCTAACTCAACCTCTCTATACAAAAAAAAAAAAAAGAAAAAAAAAGAAGAGAGTGAATCTCCTTAACGGATACCTCTTGATACACAAAAAACCTTAAAAGTTACCTTATTTCACACAATCTATAAAGAAAAGGTAAATATGCACTTCATAATAAAAGATACTATTACATTCGGAAATCCAGGCATCTTAAAAAGTCTCTAGTATGAAATCCCATCTCAATCTATCTTAATCTTTCTTCAAATCTAGCTTAATAGCCATAAATCATTTTCTCTCCTTTTGTGTCTCATCATGTGAATAATCTCCTAAGCTATTATGATGTTATCATTGATGTTCTTCCTAGACATGAAATTAACTTGCGTTAGGAAAATTAAGTATGAAAGAATTGGTTTAATCCTATTTATCAAAACCTTAGGCAAAATTATCCAATGGTTTCGAAGCTTCCACATTCATAATTAGAACCAATAGAGTTGTATTAAAAAAAATTCCATTCGAGTGGTTGAAGATAATGCTAATGAACCTAGAAACCCCGAGCTTCTAGGATGTCCCATTGACTCTAATAATGAAAGGAATAGGAGAAGAGAAAAATGAAAGCATTCAAAATTTCAAAACTCTAAAAACAAATGATTGGTTTTATCTCATCATACCACAAGTAGATATCCCATAACCTATAACTTAATAATTAGCTAAAAGATATCTAGAACACACATACGAAACATAAAATCAACAAAATGAATTCATATATCTTGAAGTGTAGAATAAACAAGTTAATTTTAGTATTTATCTTCCCAAATATAAAGCCTCTAATCTATCCATATGATCTCTACATAATTGAGCCTTTGGTCTAGAACTTGCTTTGCTAGTTTTGATCCTCTCTTTTAATTGTCTAAAGTTGATCTCTTGCTCCAACCAAGTTGTTTAGCTTGAAGTGATAAAAGTGTTAAGTTTTTCTTGATTTTAAGTCATATCTCTCTTATACTTAGAGAGTTAGAGATCAAATAATGCAATACACACTCTTGCCTCATCCAAGTAGTTTGTCTTGCATGCATAAGTGGTGATAAATATCTTTCACAAAGACACTTGTCATCATTTATATATCAATTAAGACACATAATCTTTCACTAAAATTAAGTTTTTTTTATTAATTTAATGATCATGCATGCATTAATAAAGATCCACAATCTTCTACTAAGAATATGTTACTTGATTAATATATTAATTAGTTGACTTAAGCCCAATGGCTCTCAATTTATGTCTTATATAAATCAAATCTTGATTAATTTATCCTAACTTGCATTAAACTTCAAGACATTTTAGAGACCTTATAAATTCAATTAAATTTTAATCCTAGTATTTCGATTACTTAATTAAAAATTTTAATTAATAATCATAACAACAATTAGTCATTCGATAAAATCTTTATTGTGTGTGACTTTCTAAGTTCATGTCTAATTAGCAATGGGATAATGATATCAACTCTTTGACATCATGAAAAAATTCTTTATTTAAAAACATTCTCAATATATCCTTAATCTCATAAGTCATG